GGCCGGCGGGGGGAGGCGGCGGGGCGGCAGCCGGCCGCGGCTCGGTGTGGCGGCGTGGGCGTGAAGGGCGGGAGGTGCTGTCCGGGCTGCCCTTGAGCGGAGGGGTGCGGGGCGGCCGCGGTCTCCGGTCCTTCCCTCCGCACCGGCGGAGCTGCCGCCGGTGGCCCGGGCTGGCTCTCACCGGGTGCCCGGCTGCCGGCCCTCGGCACCGCAGGCTGGGGAGGCCGGGCGCGGCTACGTGCCCTTTCCGGCGTCCCGTCCTTCCCCCGGGGTGCACGGCAGCCGTTATCCCGGGTGGGTGAGCCCCGTGTCGGCGTCGCTCCACCCCTGCCCTGGCGGCCAGAGCCCCCGGGGAGCTCGGTGTGGATCCAGGACGCAGCTCCCGCACCTTTGAGGAGGAGCCCTGGGCATTTCTGAAGGCGCAGCTATGGACCTGCAGCCCCCTGGTTTCCCTGGGGGGGACAGGGGGACAGGGAGGAGCGGCCGTGGCTTCGCGGAGGGACAGGGACGTGCCTTTCGGGGGGTCAGGGAGGGTCCCCCCCACTCCCCAGGCCACAGACAGGCAGCCCCCACCTCTCAACGCTCTCTGTCCGCGGCATCTCCCCGCTCCCAGACTTCCTCCCCCTGAAGTGCGACGCCTGCGAGCAGATCTTCTGCACCGACCACATCGCTTACGCCCAGCACAGCTGCACCTCTGCCTACAAGAAGGTAAGCGCCGAGAAGAAGTCCCATGGAGGTCTCCAGTGCACGGAGCTGCTGAGCGTTCCCAGTCCCAGAATAGTTTGTGGCTTCTTTGGTCACTTGGGCAATCCCCCTTGGGATGTACGCTGAGCGTGGAGGTGTCCCTGAAAGCCAGGAATCCCTATCCCAGTGCTGCAAACTTCCAGCCCACCCTCTGCCACTGGGTGAAATGGTTTGGGCATCTCCCAGCCCTTCTGTCTCCCCTTCCCAGAGCGTGTGTCCACACCTGTCGCAGCTGATGGGTCAGAAACCTCCTCTTTGGAGGGTGGTGAGCAGGACCTCAAAGCACAGGTGATGCTGTGGAAGCCACAGCACTCCAGCCCCCCTTTACGTGCTCCCAGCCCCCTTTTCTTGTCCCTACAGGATGTGCAGGTCCCCGTGTGTCCCCTCTGCAACACCCCAATCCCTGTGAGGCGGGGGGAGATGCCCGATGTCGTGGTGGGTGAGCACATTGACCGTGACTGCAAGTCCGACCCCGCACAACGCAAGCGCAAGGTAGGAACCCAGCGCTCTCCACCTCACTGCTGAGCTCCCCTGCCAGAGCCTGGGGGTGGGATAAAAACAACACAGGATTCGTCCCTGCCCACTGCTCTCTCTGTTTGTACCAGCCAAGGGCAGGAAGGGTTGGGTGAGCTGGAGGTGTGTCCATCTGCAGGGCTTTGTGGTGTGAGTCGGGGCTGAGAGAGGTGGAGCTGGGCAGCCACCTGGGACCTGAGGATGGGAAACTGCCTGCTCTCATTAGGAAAATGCAATCAGCAATTAGCTGCCTCTTCTTGCCCGGAGAGGAAATTGATTGCAGGGAGCTGGCCCTGCAGGAATCCAGCCCAGCAGCAGCTGGAGGGCTCTGGGCTGTCCCCCACTGCCCTGGCAGGGCAGGCTGGAATCCCTGATGAGGCAGTCTCCCTCCTGCTGTGTATTCTGTGGTTGTGGAGACCCTTGTCTGTGGAGACTGATGCACTAGTGAATTACTAATAAACTATCTACAGAAAACCCAGTACTTGGAGTCAAACTCTAGAGCCTCACAGAAGTGTCATTGGGAGACAAAGCTGGACATGGAGGGAGGGGACAGCCACTGCCCTCAGGGCATGTTCCTTTTCACCACTTCCATGTCGCCTTTCAGATCTTCACCAACAAGTGCATGAAGGCTGGCTGCAAGCAGAAGGAGATGATGAAGGTGATCTGCGACCAGTGCCACAAAAACTACTGCCTCAAGCACCGGCACCCCCTGGACCACGACTGCAGCGCAGCAGGGCGTCCCCTCTCCAAAGCAGGGTGAGGGTCTGGGGACAAGCAGGCTGGCAGGGACGGGGCTGTGCTTGGAAGAAGCCCAGCTCCTTCTACATAGCTGAGCCACAGCATGGGGATTCTTGGGAGGAAGAGGAGCGGGGAGCCAGGGAGATGCCTTGCTTATCTAGCATCTTGTCCCTGGGTATTCAGTGCCCAGGGGTGGCTCATGATGGTGAAATAGTTGCTCACCAGTGTCCCCTCTGTCCCAGGCACGCTGCGGTTGCGAGGGCCCAAGCATCCTCCTCCAAAACAGTCACCCCATCGAGCAGTGGAGCTGCCCGGCCAGCAGACAGCCCCTCTTCCCCAGCCTCTGCCAGGTAGGGTCACAGCCCGACTTGTAATTCTGAGGTGGGCATGACCAGGCCCAGCTTGGCTCCCTGTGGGTGCAGGAGACACAGCGCCCCGCTACCTGTGTGTGGGCAGGGCTGTGGACCAGCTGTGGCTCCCTGCCTTGATGATAACCCAGCTTCTCTCCTGTTCACAGAGGAGGCAGAGCAGCTGCATCGCAGCCTCGCAGCATGTCCCCTCCGGCTGTCATGCTGCAGAATGGGCTGGTGAGTGGCCTGGCCTGGGTTATTCGGGGTGTGTTGGGGTGGTTCCTGTGCCCTCGGGAGCTACTGCAGCAACTGCTTTATAACCCATGCTCTGTAGGTGACCGCGGTGCTCCCCTGCTGGGCAAACAGGGATCCCAGATGCTCAGTGGGGCATCAGAGTTTGCTCTGGTGCCTGCGAATGGCAGCTCTCGGGTGTGCTCAGCTTTCCCCAAAGGGACAAAGTGCGCTGGCTGTTTTCCCTGGGTGTTGTCTCTCTGTTTTGCGAGCCAAGGGCAGAGGAGGAGGCTGGAAGCTACTTCCCACGGGTGTTCTTAACACGCTCTGGCAGGCAGGGTTGCCTTCCCTGGGGCAGGGGGAGAGAGGGCTGCAGGTCCATCCGGAGCCCAAGGCTTTCCTTCACCTTGGCTGTGTCTGGCCTTGGAGAGGGGAGATGCACCCACCCTTGGGCCAGGGAAGATCGTGCCTGCCCTGTGTCCCTCAGGGCTGCCTCCTGCCACCCCCAGCCAAGCTGGTGATGATGAGGTGTTTTGTTTCAGAGCGAGGAAGAGGCATTGCAGCGAGCTCTGGAGATGTCCCTGGCAGAGTCAGCACGCAGCTCGGCGCAGCCACCCAGGTATGACCCGGGGACATGTGGTGTCATGCCCCAAGCCTGTGTGTGAGAGGTCCCCGGGGCGGCATCATGTGGCTCTGGGATGACGTTCCTCTCAGCACGTGGCTCTGGGTGATGCCTCTGTGTGGCTCACGGGGGAGAAGAGGGAAGAGTCCAGAGCCATCACGGAGCTCTGTTGAGTGAGCAAGGCTCTGGGGTGCTGGGAGGGGACAGTGACCGCCAGCACAGAGTACAACAAACCATTGTCTGCTTGTCAGCTAATGAGCGTGGCTAGAGCAGGACAGAGGCAGAGTAGGGGTGTTCACAGAGGACACCCGGGAGCCCACATCCTCAGGCATGTTCCCCAGTGCTGCTAAAATCACTGTCTTACTGGAGTTCATGTGGTTCTCCTTGGCCCAGGGTGCTGGCTGCCAGCCCCAGCCCGATGCTCTGCTCCCTCCCCAGTCCCCGGCTTGTTCAGGGGGACCCTCAGTTGCTCCCCACCCTTAGCTGTCCTGGAGGGCTGCAGGGACTCTGCTGCCCCAAAGGGCTCCGAGCGCGGGGCTGGTTGGCACTGGGGAGGCCGAGGCACACAATGCACCGCTGTCCCCAGCAGCACGCAGGAGGAGGAGGATCTGGCACTGGCCCAGGCACTGTCAGCGAGCGAAGCCGAGTACCAGCAGTCGCAGCGGCAGGTGAGTGAGGCTGCCTGTAGGCTCCACGCCACAGTGGGGTTGATCCCAGCCTGGCTGTGTCGTGGTGGGGGTCTTCCCTGGGTTCTGCTACCTCTGGGATCTGTCTAGGGTCACTTTTCTCACCAGGAGGGCAGCCCAGCCTGGGGCAGTGGCAGCACCACTGCTGAGCACACAGCCCTGGGGACTTGAGCACTGGATGTGCCCCCTTGTAGGACAGAAGAAAAAGCCCGTCTTCCCTTGCTCACTGTGTGCTTCTTCTGTTCCAGACGCACGGTTCAAAGCCATCAAACTGCAGCATGTCATAGGCAGGGTGTGCCAGTGGACGTGGGATCCTGCTTGTGACCTGAGGAGCAGCTCGGGCCTCCCAGGTGGATGCCGTGGGGTTCTGCCCTGGACATAGACAACAAGAGCCCCCCGCCAGGGACAGCCCATCCCCCTGGGGGCTGTAAGCGAGCCACCGAACACACACTGACACCTCGGCCCTAGTACCTGTATAAAATCGATGGATGCAGTGACTTGCTGATGCTCCTGGAGAGGTGAAGATGGTGTGGGACGAGGCTGAGCACACACTGACCAAAGCAAGCAGCAGCCCACGGCGTGCACTTAGCCACAGCTGCCGTGGCCGTGTCCCAGCGCTGCTGGGACTGTGGGGTGAGGGCAGAGCTGCCCTGGTGGGGAGGTGCCAGCTGGGGATATGTCTGCATGCTGGGATGGAGCTGGATTTCACGCTGCAGGGAGGGGACAGGCCAGCCCCTCAGCCAAGAGCAGCTGTGGCTGGGACAGTCTCTCACCTGGGCACAGCACGGCTGAACATGCCGCCTCCTGGCAGCGTGAAGGCAGCCCCTTCCCCACTGCCCAGGCCCTTTGCATGCACCAGAGCACCTTGGGCCTTACCCAGCTCGCCTGGGGCCCAGGACTTCTCTGAGACTGAATGGAGCCACATTTTCTTTCTGGTTTAATTTAACAAGGGCCATTAACTTGAATAATAACCTCAGCAGTGACTCGAGTGTGCCAGCGTCACTCATGCGGGAGCTGCCCTCCTGCTGCTGCCTCTTCTCTGCTCCCATAAACTACCCCAGGCCCCTGTTTTAATGCTGCTGGGGCAGGAACAACTCCCTCCTTCCAGTGATGCTGGGGGGCATCCCCTCCTGGGGAGCAGCAGCACAAAACCCCTTGCAAATGCAGCCCTGAGCTCAGAGCCAGCGCTTCTTGCTGGTGTTCGGAAGCAGGAGCTGACCCCTGGGGGTGGGCAGGGAGGGGGACACTTGTCCTGCTGGCCTTTTGCAGGGGGGGCTGCAGCGGTGCTGCTTTCCCACCCCCTCTCTCGAGCTTCCCTGCTGGATCTGCTCTCGTTTTGGAGCTGTGCCTGGTTCTGCACAGGGCTGGGCTGTCCCGCACTGAGTGGCAGTGAACAGCCTGGGCTGGGGGGGCTTATCTGCTTGGGGTGGGAGGTGGGTTTAGGCCAGGCTGAGGGACCGCTGAGACTTGTCAAATTGCTGACTGGGAGAAAATAAAAGCATAGTGCAAGGTGCAGAGACGCTTTGGGGGAGTTTGGTGTCCAGCCCGGAGTGGTGCATCTCCACGGATGGTGGCACAAGGAGATGCAAGGAGGGAGGTAATGTGGGGGTGAAGGGGGTACCACCTGCCCTGCTTCTTCCTTCCTTTGCCATTGGAGTGCTCAGCCCTCCATGCTCAGCCCTGTGTGCAGGGATGGGGTGGGCGCTGACAGCCTGCTCTGCCCCTCGCCCACCTAAGCCCAAGGAGCTCAACCCATGGGCAGAGGGAGTAGCCCTGCCTGCCCCTGCCCAGAGCACAGCCCCCCCGGGAGGGGGTCCTGCAGACACGTACTCTGCCCAGAGCACACAGGCACGGAGCTGGGAAGGACCTGGTTTAAGAAACTACACAACAGCAAAACAAACGGGTACAAACGTACTGGAGTGTCCAACCCAGCCCCTGCAGCTCCTGGGGCACGCGTGGCCCTGTCCCGCAGCCGGCGAAGGGCTCCCTGGCAGCGTGGGGTCCTGGGCCCCGGGTCAGTGTCACAGCAGAGTTCCCATCCATGCTCACGGACCCTTCTTGCTGCCCAGGGGCTTCTCGCTGCGGTGCTCCTTGCTCTCGCCCTCGTCCCCAGCCTGCTGCTGCAGCCACATGCCAGCGTACACACCCCCCTTCTGAAGCAGCTCCTCGTGCCTGCAGGGAGAGCAGAGGGGTGCAGGGTCTCGCACTGGCCCCAGAGACAGGGAGGGGGTCCCCGTGGGCAGATGGTACCAAGCACCCCCTCTCCCCCCCATTCTCACCTCCCTCGCTCCGCGATGCGCCCATCCTTGAGCACCAGGATCTGGTCTGCCCCCACCACGGTGGAGAGCCTGCAGGGAAAGGTTATCCTGGCTCAGAGGGGAGAGGGACCGAGGCGGGGGCTTGCACAGTGCAAGGAGCCACAATTGCAGGGGCTGTCACCTCCCCGGCAGGAGGACAGGTCTGCAAGTCCCTCTGCAGGGGCTGGCCCAGCCCAGAGAGCTCAGCATCTCCTGGATTAGCGCTGTCCCCCCATCCCTACCTGTGTGCAACGACGATGGTGGTGCGGTGGGCGCAGACTTTGGCCAGGGAGGCCTGGATGTTCCTCTCGGTCTCCGTGTCGAGGGCAGACGTGGCCTGTGGGAGAGGCAGGGCGTGGGGAAGGGATGTGGGCAGCCACTGGGGCCAGGGCTGCTGCTGCAGAGGGGGGCAAGGCTGGGATGGGGGGCAGCTGCTGTTACCTCGTCCAGCAGGATGATGCGGGGACCCTTCAGGATGGTGCGTGCGATGGCGACGCGCTGCTTCTCCCCCCCGCTCAGCTTCAGCCCCCGCTCCCCCACCTGGGTGTTGTATCCTGCAGGCACAAGGGCAGGAACGTGCTGCGCTGCTGCCCTACGGGATGGGGATGGGGACCAGGGTTCTGCTGCATGGGGGGGTCCTGCTGGGACCACACGGCTGCCTGGCACAGCCTCAGCCCATCCCTGCCCAGGGCCTGATTTAGTCCTGGAGGGACAGCAGGAAGATGGGAGCCACAGGATCCTGTAAGGTGTCTCCATGGGGATTGTCACTCAAGGACATCCGTGAGGGCAGCTCCAAGACCACGAGGGACCCCAGGATGGCATGGGAAGGGGACCACGGGAGTCTCACCGTCAGGGAAGGAAAGGATGCGGTCGTGGATGTCAGCAGCCCGAGCTGCCTCCTGCACCTCCTGGTCAGTGGCCAAGATGCGTCCGTAGCGGATGTTGTTGGCGATGGTGTCGTTGAAGAGCACCGTGTCCTGGGGCACCACCCCGATGTGAGCGCGCAGCGACGCCTGCTTCACCTGGGGAGATGCGGGGGGAGGGCTCAGCCAGATCTCCCCCAAAAAAGACACCCCCACCAAAACCCAATCCTACCCCTCAGCCGTGAGCCCAACGCACCACTCATCCATAGGGTGTCTGCTCAAGGTTCCCCCCGCGACCACAGGTTGAGTTGCATCTCCACCCTGCTGTGGGGTGACCCTGCCAGTGCCCAGCTCTCCCTGGGGAGCCCTGGCCAGTCTCCAGTAGTTGGGCCCTGGGGTCCTGCAGTCGCCCCACTCACCCCATGCCCAGCACAGCCGTCAGCTGTCAAAGGGGCTGCGGGCTGCGTGCTCACCCCTGCCCCGGGGAGATGCCAGTGCCTGCAGCAAGCAATGCTGCGAGGCCTAGAGGAGCACACGTCTATCCCTCCCAGATCCCTGGAGGTGTCCCACCCTCACCTGGGAGATGTCCTGCCCGTCGATGCGGATGCAGCCACCCCGCACGTCGTAGAAGCGGAAGAGCAGGCGGATGATGGTGCTCTTCCCTGAGCCTGAAGGTCCCACCTGCATGTGAAGGTGAAGGGACTTGGATTCACCAGAGATCCCCCAGCTGCTGGAGACAGGGAAGAGCCAGCCCTGCTGGGGATCTGTCCTTCCCACCCCCGTAATTCCCCTCTTCCCCCATCCCACCCTGCAACAGTGACCCCACACCCGAGGTCCCGCTCTCACCAGGGCCAGGGTCTGCCCGGGCATCACAGAGAAGGAGACGTCCTGCAGGATTTCCTTCCTGGGAGAGGGAGATAGAGAGGGGCTCAGGGCCATCTCCGTTGCCCCATGTCCCCATCCCCATAGCTTGACTCGTCCCATCCCACCACCCTGTGCCCACTGCCCTGTACCCATCCACGTAGCTGAAGTGCACGTTCTCAAACTCGATCCGCCCAGCCTCCAAGCGCAGGTCACCGGCGTTCACCACATCCTTCACCTGCCATACGGTGAGATGCAGCCTCAGAGCCAGCCTGTCCCCGGGGCAGGACCGGGGGGCCACGCCGGGGAACAAGGTCCAGTAAGGTGGCACCCACCTCCTGCTCCTCATTGAAGAGCTCGAACATGTTCTCCATGTCTACAAAGGAGTTCTGGATCATCCTGGAAGGGCGTGAAGACCAGAGGGAAAGGTTTGGTGGAGCACATCCTGACCCAAGTGCCCATGAGGAGGGAGACCCCAGGCACCCCTGCAGCTCCCAGCATTACCTGTAGTAAGTCCCAAACCAGTTGAGTGGTGTGTAGAGCTGGATGATGTAGGTGCCAAAGAGGACAAAGTCCCCCACCTGGAAGGAACACGGGAGAGGTGCCCATCACCACCAGCCCCAGGGCACCACACCGGGCAGGGGCTGCCCAGGCTGGCACCAGCCTTACCTGCAGCTTGTTTTCGGTGACAAAGTAGGCACAGAGCAGGGATCCCGCCAGCAGCCCCAGGCCGATGACCAGGTTCTGGGTTTGGTTGAGGAGGCCCAGCGAGGCGCTCACCTTCCACTCCGAGACCTGGAAGAGGCAAGGTCCTCTGGGATGCTGCCACCTCCAAGCCAGACCCACAGCGAGCTCCATGCATGCTCCGCAGGTGCCCGTGAGGCTCAGCTCCTTCTCCTCTGATGCTCTCCCACTGGTGCTGAGCACCCCATACCTGGTACTTGACAATGGCATCGTTAAAGCGGTTCACCTCATAGCTCTCGGCATTGTAGTACTTCACCTGCAGGACACAGAGCTGGGGTCAGCGCCCAGGTCATCCCCCCCAGCACCAGGCAGTGCTCAGCTCCTCACCACCACCTACGGTACCGTCTCGAAGTTGAGGAGCGAGTCCACGGCCCGGGACTTGGCCTCGTTGTCCCGCGTGTTCATGTCCCGCCGGTACTTGGTCCTCCACTCGGTGATAAAGATGGTCAGAGCTGTGGGTAAAAGGGGGCTGTGTCGGCAGGTGCCCGCTGCCCCACAGCCCAGCACGGCACCCCCCCACTCCAAACCCCCCCACTCACTCAGGTAGAGGCTCATACACACGAAGATGATGAGGCCAAACCAGGCACTGAAGACCGAGGTGAAGTAAACGATGCCGATGACAATGTCCGCGATGGTGGGGACAATGCTGAAGACGATGTAGCTGGGGGTGGGAAGGCAGATGGCACATCAGCCTGGGCTAGTGGGGGCTGCCTGGCCACCCCCACCACCACGGGCACGCTCTGACCTGAGCAGGCTGTTGATGCTGCTGGTGCCCCGGTCCACGCTGCGCAGGACCTCGCCAGTGCGACGCCCCAGGTGCCAGCGCAGGGACAGCCCGTGCAGGTGGGCGAAGAGCTGGACCTGGACCTGCCGGTTGGTGAACTGCTGCACCCACACCCACAGGAAGGTGCGCAGGTTGCTCACGAAGCCGGTGGAGCCTGCAGGGCACCACGGGATGGTCAGTGGGGACCAGTGCCACCAGGGCAAACGGCCAGCTCAGAAAGCCCAGCTGGGCAAGAGGGATTTGGGATGGGGTCCTCCTGCTGCCCACCTCCCCCCCAGCCCTGCTTGCTGCTGCCAACAGAGAGCAGCAACGATGGGGGCATAAGAGCATCCTTGGTCACCCCAGCACGATGTGGCCCACCCGGTCTCTCCCTAGCGCCCTGTCCTTCCCGATGGTCCTTACCAGCACCTCCGCCCTGCAGGAACTTCAGCCCCACGTAGGTGCAGACAGTCCAGGCCAGGGTGTGCCAGGGAGCACCCACCGTCAGCTCGTTCACTGGGGAGAGGGTGGCATGGGTTAGGACGGAGGGGCAGGGAGCATCGCTGGGTACCCCAAGGGAACCAGCCCCAGCACCCAGCACTGGTCCCTGACCCCCTGGACCCTGCTCCTGCCAGGCAGCCCCCACGGTCACTCGTGACACCCCCAGCACTTGGCGGGGCCGTGGACAGCCTCACACACCAATCTCCAGGCATCTCACCAATGTTCTTGTAGTAGATGGGGACGAAGACGTTGATGGCCCTCTCCAGCCCCATGAGTGCCATGCAGAACAGGACCAGCCCCTGCAGCAGGTGGTTGCCCTTCGGCCACATGTAGGGCACCAGCAGCCGCAGCTTCCTCCGGAAATCCTTCCAGGTGGAGGTGGTCCTGCCAGAGTCGGGCAGGAGCTGTTGAGGGAGAGCAGAATGAAGGGTCACTGCCCCAGCACCCCAGCCCAGCTGGCAGTGGCTCTGGGGAATACCCCACCAAGAAAATCAGCCCCGTCCTCCCAGAGTCCCTGCTCCATCCTCCCAGCAGGGCCACATCCTGCTGAGAGTGGGCAGGGAGCTTCAACAGTCCTAAACTTCGCTCCTCCCTGTCTCCTGAAGCTGCTGACCCCAGTGTCTCCAGCTCCTCTTCGGCCACCTCCCCAAACTGCTCTGGCCCTGGGACTCACCTGGCTGCTCTCCACGTCCCGCTCCTCCTCGTTGACCAGCAGCATGTAGGGCTTGTGGGGCAGCCCCGGGGCCTTCATGCCCAGGATGAAGAGCATGAACGTGCAGATGTATCTTAGCAGCCAGAAGCCGAACTGCACCTGGATGGAGAGTTGGGGGGGGTGTCAGCACCGCAGCCGGTGCCGGGCACGAGATGGACATGAGCTGAGAGAGGCAAGGAGTGGGGCACAGGGATGGGGTGCAGTGCAGCCAGGGAAGAGGGGACACCCCACGCAGCTCAGCGGGACACCCTGGCTGCACACAGCACCTCAGGCAGCACCCAGACCCCTTCCTTCCTTCCTCCCTGCCACGTCTGGCTCTGTGTCCTCCAACCTGGGGTGCCCCTACCCTGGGGGAATCAGGGAGAGGGGGGTAAAGGTCTTTGGGGAGCAGGAAAGAACCCCCCGCCTCTGCACCTGGGGCTGGGCCAGGCAGAAGCAGGAGCTGAGCTGGATGGGGGCGTGGAGAGATGGGTGATAGCTGGGCTCGGGGCTGAGACACAGGGCACATGCATGGGCACAACCCGGGAGCACGTACGCCCTGGCCATGGCAGGGCACGGCATGTACCCTCACCCCCAGCAAAGGGCCCCGTCCCCCCTCCCCAGCCCACAGCCTCCCCAGCCCACCTTCTGGTTGGTGTCCTCCAGCGCCCACCACCACAGCGGGCTCCTCCAGCACACCAGGGTCAGGTTCTCGGCGGCGAAAGCCAGCGCCCAGAAGAGGAGGAGGACGGTGCCGTGGCCCCGTGTCCGGTCCTGTGTCAGCACCCGCGTGTGTTCCAGCTGCAGGAGGGCGACGGCGCAGCCCCAGCTGAGGGCCCAGAGGCAGGCGTGCAGCAACATGTACCCGTACAGCCGTCCCAGGCCCCCCACTTGCCACAGCAGCCCCCCGAAGGGCTGCAGGGCCAGGAGCAGGGACAGCAGGACCTGGCTGTGGTAGAGGCGGGAGCGGGGGATGTACTTGGGCTCCATGGGGCGGCCGAAGCGGACGTAGCAGGCGTACTGCAGGGCGCCCAGCAGCAGGCAGACGCTCAGCAGCACGGCCGGCACCAGTGTGAAGAAGAAGCAGGGCTGGAAGCCCTGCTGGACCCAGGCGTGGGCGATGGAGCTGTTGCCCTCACAGTAGCCCCCCAGCACCACCATCCTGGCAGGTCAGCGGCTGCGGAGAGAAGAGGGGCTGGAGAACCTGGAGAGAAGAGGGGCTGGAGCAAGGTTCTCAGGATGGACTGTGGGGTAGGGCTGCAAGGAAAGACCCACGGCGGGATGGCACGGCCCAGCAGAGAGGGGTGCACATGGGGAGAGGGGCAAGCACCGCTGGACACGGACACACGAGGGGGACACACGCACAGCCATGCAGGCAAGCAGGGCCAGCTCTGCATGGGGTGGACATGAGCACCAGGCCGGGATGAGGAGCCTGGCAATGCCCCGGGTCGGGGGGGTAACACTGCACCGGGCCCCCTAGAGCCATCAGGGCCCTTTGGGGTGCACTTCGA